TTGAAAGCAACAGGAAGGTTTCAAGGATCTGTGGAAACACAGAAAACTACAACTCATAGCAGATAAAGGACTAAATTTGGAATAATAACTAGTTCTGTCAGGAAGGAATGGTCTGACCAGTTGTGTTGGCTTTCATTCTAGTTGCTTTAAATTTTCATGCAGTTTTACCATTTGTGTCTTATTATTGGGCTTCAGCCACCTGACAAAGTTCTACAGGAAGATGGCATTTCTTGGAATATTTTAGAACTTAGAAATTAATGAATTTGGATATTAAGCCTGTAAATATATCTGTACATTCAGACGTGAATGTATGCCAAGGATAATTCATTTGAGAATTTCTTGTACATGTTTCTTAGCTTGCAACAAAGCTTTACAAAAATTTTAGTATTTTCTTATGGAATTAATTTGTAAGTCTCTTTTTGCCCTATGTCTGCTTTTACTATAAAAGTGCTAAAGCTTTTAAGTGTGTTTGAGTGTGCAAAAGTGATTCCTACATTAGCATTTGATTTATGTAAATACAAAGAAATGTACTGCTTGCCTACATGAATAAACAGATATATCTATGCCAAGTGTTGAATAAACAAAAATAACTGCTTGTTAGGGATAAAATGACAGGAGGAGCTCAAACTAGCTTTTAGCTAACCAAGACTGTTGAATCTGTTTTCAGCTTTTGTGAACCCAAAAGTTACTTACTAAGTCCTATCAACATTGTGATTTTTCTAAAAATAAATTTAAAAAAAAGGTTTGTGTGTTCTTCTCCTCAGTACTTCTGAAAATAAAAAAACTTGGTGCTCACTCACCTAGGGAAGGACCCTTTAAATAGTTTGTTTACCATCAGCAGCTCAGGTTTATTTCCTAGAGATGTTTTAATTATTTTGGAATGAAGTTGGCCAGAAGCAGCAAAGCTTTATGCTGCTTACCTGTGTGAAGTGTAGAGAAGACATCTGTGTGTGAAGGACAGGCATGGCTTTTGAAGAAAAATATTTGGAAACTCAGAAAAGATGCTGAAAAGATGCACTTAGTTGTCTTAGTATGGACAAACGTAACAGCATTCACTTTTCCTCATCCAATTATCAGATCCTGAAGCAATAGACACTTTTGCAGGTCCGTGTGTTTTCTCACCTGCTGATGTGAGAGGATCATAAGAGAATGAAAAGGCAAAGCAGGGGTTGCCAAGTGCCTAAAAAGTAACAAATTTACTGATTTTTCCAACTTACTGATTTGTCCAGTTGTGGTTCCACAGTCTGGAGTTGTGGAAGAAAGAAGAAAGACTAGCTGCTGCCACCTGGATATAAAGGTTAAACAGAAGACTTGTAATTTCAGAGTGCTGTCTTGTGAGAATGTGCCAGTTTATGGGTTTCTGTTACTTACCTGTGGATAAAACAGCAGTTCACTTGCAGTTACTGGGGTATTAATTGTTGCATTGCTGTTTGCCTCACTACCCACAGAAAATTTGATCTTGTTTCTTGCTTAACTTCCATGACATTTCAGAGCTAAATATTCCAATTCATTATTTCTCCCACACATTGGGAAAGGAATCATCGGTTAACCATTATTGACCACTCTACTGAAGTGGTTTTGCAGTCACATCCCACAGATCAGCTGATGCCCATCGTGGCCTAACGAGCTCCCACTGACTTTCAGATGTAGGAATTAACGTAGTTTCTACACAGGTTTCAGTCAGACTGTACAAAGGAATGAAAAAAATACTGCCCTTTCTGAGTCCAAACTGCAGCTTGATCCCTGTAAGGTACCTCCGTGATCAAGCTGAGTTAAAATGGCTGGCAGCAAAGAGCCCTGTCCCAGTCCTGTGGTACACCCTCTTGCCTTCCATTTCTTACTCTAGTCCATCTCCTTTGAGGATGAGGAGGGGTTACCATCAGTAGTAGGAGGAAAAATAATCCAAGCAGGTTCTTATTGTAGAATTATATATCACTGTAGCTTCTACAAGGTAGCTGCAGTGGCAGATTATTCATCCTATTGGTGGAAAAGACTGATTGAAAAGTGGTTTTCAAATGCAATGTTTTTGATGGTTTTCAAATGCAATGTTCATTTCAAATACTTATTCAAAGTTATCCAAATGAATTCACTGGATTGTGCAAATGAAAACAAGCAAATCTTAATCATAACATTTGGCAGCTTTTTGCTGTAGCTCTTATTGGTGCATATTTCAGTATCTGTGCCAAACTTTGAATGCCAAGGAAAACATTTTAGTGCACAGTTTTCAGTATATCTTGGGCTGAATTACACTTTCAATGCTGCTTTTCTGTGTTGGAATTTTTTTTCACTTTAGGCCACAATCTCAACCACGTGTTCTATGTGTGTTTTTCACTTGAGAGGGAACTTGAAAATGTTCCTTTTTGCTCTTTTCTGTTACACAGATACAAAGACACATTTAAAAGGAAGTGAACAGATTATTAGGAATGGGAAGAGGACTTAAATGGAGAAAACCCACAGTTTTCCTAAATCTCTGTATTTGGAGTAAATTTAATAACCACAAGAATAAAATACATGTTCCTCCATCTGCTTGTGAAAAGTCATTGAAGCTTTAGCTAGTACATAGTAATTTTAATCTTCTGTTGCCAAGAAATTGTATCACCAATTCACTTGTGTGTTTGGTTTACATTTACATTAATGGCTTATATTACTGGATGCTTCAGTATTTTAATTAAAGCACTTCTGTTTTTATTAAAAAAGATGAGTAGTGTAGGATATTAGTGGCATTCCCAAGTAGTTCTAGTGTGTAATTCAGTTGTTTCATCTCCAATAGACACATGCAGCAGGTTACCCACACCAAAGAGCAATGTCTGACCTCTGCCCATAGGAAGATGGGGCTGCCACTGTGATGAGTTGTGACTGAACTCTTGTTCCCTTTTAGCTTTCTCATCTGAAAAAGGCCTGGTGGGGTAAAAGTATGTGGTGTAAAAAATAGACACACTGTCTCCTTTTCTACCTCCATTTAAGTTTCTGTAATATTGGAGTTTTCCTTAAAAGACGAGTAAAAAAGTAAAAAAATGTAGGCAACTCATCCACCTTGTCAGGTGAATAATAGACAGAACTGTGTTTTCCTTTATGCTGAAAAAGATGGGTCAATGATTTTTCAAGTGCTAAAACTGCTATTTATCATCAGGTATTAGCTCATATATTTCTTTTCAATATACGGTATTTTTTACTTGCTATCTTGGGCAAGCTGTTGTATGTTTTTGACAGCACTGGGATTAGGAAGTTCCTGTAATGCTCCCAAGAGCAGGAGAGAGATAAGCATTCAAGACATCCTGACTCCTACACTAGATCCACTCCTTCCAGTGCTGCCCACTTTCACATTGTTATTTAGCTAGACAGGGCAATAAAAGAACTGTACAAGATGTGCATCATCTCCAAAATTCATTTGAGAATGTTCCATATCACAGTGAAGTTGTATCAGCAGGCAGGTAAGACAGTGCATTTTGGGAAGACTTCACTTGCAGGAACAACTGTTTTGAAGTAAAGATACTGGACATGTGTAACCTGTTCAGACCTGCCTGGGACTATTCCCTAACCTTGCCAACATTCCTGTTCCCTTCAGGCAAATTCATCACTTGTATGAAGATCAGCACATGTGGCCCTGCTTTTGGCATTCTGGGGAAAAAAAAAAAACCAAGAAAAAAACAAAAACAAACAACCAGTGGATTTATGGGATTGCTCAATTCATGGTATAGTTCTTGTTTTTAAATGACTGAAAAAGTCACCTCTTCAGCCTAAGCGTCCTTAGCTGTTCTGAGACTGACCAATTGACCCTGACATGGAGAATGATGATTCTGAAATCGAACTGTAGAGAGCTTCTATTAGTAGCTTTAAGCCAGACATTTATAAACTATTCTGCTGTTTCAAATTTGGGCAGGGCAGAGGGAGGCAGTTCACTTACTTGAACATCAAGCTTCTTGAGGACCCAGAACCACCAAGTTCTATCAGTCCATCTTATGCTGCTGCACCTGGTTTTTGTAGTTTCCATAAAAGCATGAGAGCTGTTTTATGTTCTGGGTAACAACAGAAATGCAGCTGGGGGCAGCCTGTGCCCCACACCAGACTGAATAACCCTGCAACACCACAAGTGCTCAGACTGGCCACTCAGGGTAGCAGAGTCTGAGCTATTTGCTGCCCTAGACAAAACAGCTCCGACAAAACCCCCTGCAGCTCATCCCCCAGCACAAGGGAGGATGCACAGCAGTCACCCTGCTGGGGCTGGGTACCAGGGTGATGGCTGCAATCCAGTTCAAAGGACAAGGCTGGGTTTGCTAGAGAGATGCATGAGATAGCTATGATGCTATGACAAAACCGGATTTAAACCACATCGGTAATTTTAAATTAAGTCCATGTACAGACAGATGCATGACTTTTTTGGTTTTTCATTTTCCAAAGCTTTGTATCATCACAGTCAGCACTATCTGACATCTCTCCCCATGAAGGATATGCATGGATATTTGTATTTTAAAAAAAAGCAAAACCAAAAAAATCCAAATGAGATCAATAGAAACAGTCATGATGGGCAATGTTTACTTCTGAAGATAAGCATCTACCGGGGAGCGGAGCATGCTTCAGTTCAGTAATGCAACATCACATTTTAAATTTATGAAACTAGTTTTATTTGTCATCCCTCTGTAGCCAATTCCAAGCTGCTGCAAAGTGGATTCCTAATCTCCATCCTCTTCCTTTATTTAGTGGCCTGAGTGAGGGGTTAAGTTTGACATGATTTTATCAGCTGTTATTGCTGAGCCAAGAAACAAGCAGGCCAGTGTTGCTTTGAGGACAGAGTATGTCTGAGTGATCCTTTCAAGCACGCTTCAGAGAAAGACAGTCTCCTCTTACAAGCTACCTGAGCTCCCACAGCACCACACCCTACTTGGAAGGCGAGGATGTCAAACAGGTTGGCTTTCCCCTCTGGGAAGGAGGTGGATCCAGAGTGTTCAGGCACCCTCCTCATTGGGCGCTGCCGCTGCTTCTCAAGCTCTCTGTGCTTCCTGCCTGGACGATAAATAACTTTCTTGGAGCACAGGTGGCACCTAATGTGCTGCTCACAGCTTGGCTCTAGCAGGGTTGCTTGTTTTCGTTACTTGCCTTGTAAGCAAGAAGGTTTCTCTCTCTCTTGCAGAGCTTGGGTGTAGGGGTAGGAAACTTCTTTGAATAGAGGTGAATCCAAGTGTCTCCCTCAAACCTTGGCACTGCAGTTGCAACATCTACCATCACTGCTTGGAAAAAACCATCTGGTGCAATCAAGGCACTGCACAGAAGAGCATGGAGAAATTCAGAAGTATTTTTCTTTTGTGCCTTGGCTTCCTCCTAGTCCATGTGAGAGGTAAGTGACCTTTACTTGGCTTATTTCAAAGGCTAGATTATTAAAAAAGAAGAAAAAAAACCACCCCAAACCAAAAAAACTAAGCTCCCAAGCCTTAAAAGGGACATTTATTTATTTGGAAATGCTTGCTAGCTTTTTTGGGGTTTTTTTTGAGCTACTCTTTAATGAGAAGCATTCAAAATTGTTTATATGTGCTTCACTAGTTTCTAAAGAGATACATGTCTCCTGACTGATTGTTCATAATAGCTGTGCTAGTTGAAGTTTACTTATTATAATTTATTTTCTTGCTAGTGTTGCTTCCCTAAAATAATTCACAAGCTTAGGCTTGAGTATAAACTTTTTAAAATGGAAGCTGTAAAATGAGAGCTTCCAGGGAAACTTAAGTTTCCACAGAGATCTGTGGTCAAATAATGATATAATGTCTTAAAGCTTTTCTTGGTTATTGGTATTTTGAAATCTATGAGTTTTATTGTAAAAACAAATTCTGATGCTGTCTAAAGGTGTTCATGCTTTTATATTGGTGCATATGCTTTAATAATTATAAACTAATAGTTCAGTTACCTTAGTAAATGTATTCCACAAGCATACTTTTTCATGCAGGACTAATTAAGAATTTAATAAATTTTGCACATATTTTTTGGTGAATGAATAGCAACAGAGAAAATGTAGCCTTTTCATACTGAGTCACTTTACCATATTCAAACATAATTTCTTTCAGCAAAATATTCTTTAAAACTTTTGTTGAGGTAAAACCAAATAGAATTATCTTTGTGTGCATCTGCCATGTGGTGTAACCTTTTCTTTTTTGTATATTAGCAATACTGCAGAAACTTTTTGTACAGTGTTGGCTGCAGGAATCATTCATTAATCACTAGTTCATTAATCACAAATACATCATTAATCACTAGTTCCAGAACAGCAGTTGCTGCTGATCCTCCCACCTCCCCTGATTTAAATGAAGTCCCTAGGAGATCTTGCAGTGGTGGGCAATGAAAAACACCTTGTCTTAATTTAGTTTAATAGTTTGATTTTAACAAATGAGGAATTATTTAGAGGTCTTCAGCAATTAGCGTGGCATAGAAAGAGCAGAGCAGAGACTGGGCTGGCCTGCATGTTGTGTTGTGAGCAGTGATGATTCATGCAGTCTCTCACCTCTTGGCATGCAGACTTTCTTGTTCTGTAGCTGTCATATGTTGAATAGTTCTCTTCAGACAACCTGAGCATAAGCAAGCCAATTTGCATATACTCTGCTATTTTAATTACAAGGGTAGTTAGCCTAATCATTCTTCATTATACATGCATTAATTTAGAGCCAGTTCAGGCTCTGCTTTGGGGGAGAAGTCACTGCTGAAAGTTGCTGAGGGCTTTGGGCACAGTCTTATGACTCTGGAAACTATTTAATCCACTTTAATTAAGCAAACTTAATTATTTTAAGTCTGTGGCAACAGCCACTGAATTTTATCATCAAAGTATTCACCATGTTTCAGGGATATTTACAAGAACCTCCTCTCAGTCCCAAACAAGACGTGATGTGAGAAATGCTTGGCCGCATTGGTAAAAAGCTGGTCTAAGTACTTATGAAGGGAATGTCTATGGCATGATTCAGCCTTTTATAGGCAGCTTAATTCTCTTCTAAATTGTAATCCTCTGTGATAGCATCTATAAACAACTGGAAAACCACAGCCAGACCAGATGACATCATTACCCTCTTACCATCCAGCATTTCCTTTATGTTCAATTAACTTGAGTTACTTAGCTAGACTACCTTTATGGACACATCTTGACAGAAGCATAACAGAGCCAAGAACCATATTGCACAAGGAAAGTGAAATCTGATACAGTTCAGAAACATATATGCTCATTGCAGTATTCGATTTTTAGCTACATTCTAGATTTTGGAATTTCCAGACTTAGGTAGGTTACATGAAGACTCCTATGTATTTGAGCTTCAACAACTAATTGTGAGGCTTTTAGCCCAATCTAAATGAAATAAACTTCTTTCACTGAATTTCATGGGAATATCCCTCATGAGTTCCTACAGCTTGGCTGATCTCTGGTAATTCAGGTTTGGCTGTGTGTACACTGCCCATTTAAGGGCTCAGACACAATTCAGGCTGCTCCCCTGTAACTGAGATCATGAAACTTTGAAACATATGTCCCACCTGGGCCACAAACCTGTGTGCACTCCTGCAGTGGGGAAGCTGTGCAACCTGGGGCCTCTCCCCTTTATGGACCTGGAAGGCAACTGAGATTCCACTCAAACCTGACTGCTCAGAATGCTCCTCAGGCTCCCAGAGTAGATATAATCCATATATCCATGGTCTTTAAGGTTGACTGATGGATCACATGTTTAGCCAGTGACAAAGACAGTGCAAAGACTGATATGTCTGAGATGGATTACATTTACTCCATCAGGTATTGAAAGCTACACAGGTAAAGGGAACAGCATTTGCTAGTCAGTAAACCAAGGACCTCTGTTCAGCAAAGGCTGACAAAGCTTTTGACTCAGTTGTAGTCTCAGTTAATCAGTTGTAGTCTCACTTAATCAACTGTGCCCTTTATGGGGAGAAAATTGTAGACCAGTTTGAATTTGAGACCCTGTGTGACTTAGAGCTGTGAATAATGTAGTTTTCACTGGAGTTAAAAGACAGGAGAGATTACAAACACAGTCCTGTTTTTTCTTATACTGCTCCATGTATCAGCAGCCCTCACTGTTCTGTGTGAGGTCCCTGTGGACGTGCTGAAACACTAACAGATTCAGCAGGCAACAAATTCTCCTCTGCTGGCTGCCAAAACTATTTCACTCCCAAGACCTGGACTGCAATAATCCGCAGGCACATCAGTGCTATCAGCTAAGGGTGGAATTGCAGTTTGAAAAATCCCCATACCTGAGCTGGTTGAGACACTAACAACGGCAGAACTGTTGCAACATCAGAGCTTGGGAAGAGAAAACAACTGGTGCAGTTACTCAGCTTCTCAGGTTCACTTTTCAAACATTGCTGCAATGCTGCAAGCCTGGCAGCAGTGACCAACCTGCCTGAGTATGTATTATTAACTTAGTTGCACCATCAATTGTCAAACCCTTTCCGTCTCATTGCGGGTAATAAAAAACAAATAAATGTCAGAATTCTTTCAAGATTAGAAATCAGTATAAATAGACCTTTCTACGGCATTTTTGCCTCCTAGTAGGAGGAGATAGATTCAATTTGTTTTGATTAGAGTCTCCCTTTCCACAGGCTGATATCTATAAACATTATGGGAAAATACTAAAAATACTTAAATCTGACCTACATTATAGGAAAATACTAAAGATACTTAAATCTTACCTGTAGTCAGATTTACCTGAAGGCAAACACACCATCCCCAGCTGAAAGAATTGGCTTGGATGAATTATGAAAATATAACAGTCCCACTTACATTGAATAAGCATTGCCTGTTATCAATAGATTTTTAATTTGTTAAGAATTCATGCAAAAGTTAAATCACAGCAATATATTTTCAAAGGACAACAATGCTACAGAAAAAAAGTGAATGCAAAGGCATTAAGTAGGCACTAAGATTAGCAGACAAGTTGAAGTCCTTCCTTACATCTCTGGTCTAATTACACCAGTGGTGAATGAACCAGGGGCTGTTGAAGGTCAAGAGCTCTTTTGCATGCATTTTACCAATGTACCTGGTGTGAAAGTGGGAAGGGGAACATTAAAACACATTCTGAGAGCAAGAGAAACAGCAAAGCCTGGCATCCCTCTGACCACCTATATTCCATTCAGTTCTCTCTGTTGTCTCCAAACTACTCACTGGAGAAAGTGGGGATTAGCCAGCTGGTGCTTAGGCAGCAAGTGGTCACTCTGAGAGCCCAACCCAGCTGTTGTCTGTGCCACACTAAGGATTTCAGTAAGAATGCTCATACAGGTCTCTTGCTTGAGTACAGTTCTCATGTAATGTGACCATCATTAAGCCTGAGACTCTCAGACCAAATGGCTAGTGGCTTCATGAACCTGTAGTGACAGAGACAGGCTTTGGATGAAGAGCCCACACTGTGGGCTAAGCTCTTCTGCCTCAGGACACAAAGCTGAAAGTCTGAGTAAGGTGCACAGGAACACGTATGTTGTCCTTCATGGGAGACCTCAATTCTTTTGCTTTGCCTGCAATTTTACAGCACACACCATCTCTTCTTCTCTTAATCTCTAGCAAAATACAGAAAATCATATCTGTTTTATTTTATGTATGCAGGGCATAACAGAGCATAAAAACATCAGTTATCTTTGAACAGAAAGGCAAATGTAATAGATCTAAAAGGTTTTTGTTTGTGTTTGGTGAGACGATGTTGCACAGAGCTAAAGCAATACTGCCACTCCTACTTTATTAGTGCATCTTAGTTGCTGGTAATTATTTAAATGTGTTCTTGTATGAATAAGCAAAAGAGTCCTTTTCATTTCCCCTGCATTTAAACTAAAACCAGAAATGGCCTAGCAAAAAATAAGAAGCCAATAATCAGGTCCATATGTTGTGGTCTATATGCTGGGTCTTGGATCTTAATTATAGATTTTAAGGCATACTCATTTTCCACCCCAGCATCAAGGGGTTGTAATGGCAATCCTTGTTTATGAAACTAAAGGTCCTTGAAGGAAAAACAAGCTACTGTAACATCATCAGGAAATATGGATCATGGGGCTATGACATGAAAGAAATAGTACCTGCTCATTGAGATTTTGTCCAGAGTGCCCACTCTGGGGCATAAACCTGTGTGTTCTCCCAGAAATGACTAATTTCCTTTAAACAAACATAATTGCTTCCTGAACAAAGTTGGACCAGTACATGGGTATGTTCGAAGTTCCATGCATGGGAAAATACGTACTATTTTCTCATTATGGAGTAAATAGGTTTCTTGATTTTATTATAATGAGAAATGGTCTGTGCAAAGAATTGCCTACAATTTCAGCTAGAAAAAAGCCATAAAATGAGTTTCATGAGTGATTTTGGTAACATATTGTTCCCTTTTATAAAATTTTTGTTCTCATTTTTAAGTCACAGACTTCTTTCTCAGTCTCTTTCTGCTTCATAATGTTTTAAGCACATTGTATTCACAGAACAATTCCTATTTAATTACACTGAAGAAATCATACTTGTTCAAGTCTTTAAATACTGTAAAATCAACTTATTCTCCCTTTCTCAAAATTAGAAATTAGTTGCTTCTAATTTATTTGTCACACACATAAACTCATCCCAAACCTATGACTACTAGCAATGCATCAAAAACCAATTAATTTAATCATCTTAATGAAAAAATTATTAATCTAACACAATGCACATAAATGCAGTTTAGTTGTGTGTCCAGGAACATATACAAACACATTCAAACACATTTTCTCATGGATTTTAGCTTCCTTTTTAATACTAGACTATGCACATTAAAAATCTGAGAAGTTCATTTCATTTGTCGCATAACCTGATCCTCACTTAGAATTATTCATTTCTGCCTTATTTAAATCTGTGTCATTTTAAGTGCCACAAGCTGTGTTCAATTGGAGATTGAAAATTGCAGAGATGTCGTGGTTGCCTTTTGTCAGGAAACTTGGCTGTGTTGTCATGACAAACTGGTAACACTCACCTGCAGAATCCAGCCTTGTTCCTCATGAATTCAACTCAAAAGCTGTGGGACCTCAGACCCTTGTGATCAAACAGATACGTGGTTAAAGGGTGGTGAATCCACTCAACATTTAAATAACAAATTAAACCATAGACAAAAATGCTACTGTCTGCATTTTAGTGACTGGATATTTGGGTCGCATTTTCAGAAAACTAATATTCAAAATTTGTGCACACTAAATGCAGATGTGCCTGAGGACATGAGTTTGCAAGCATTTTCTGAAATTCTCTGTTATAAGTCATTGAGGACCACCCACAAAAAACATTATTACAGTAATTTTATTTCTTTGTCAAAACAGGGATACTCCCAGAAGAAAGGTTAGAAGTAATGCCAAGAAATAGCATACTAGCCAAAAAAGCAGCAATAGCAGAGATAACTCTGAGATAATACCACCTGCACAGCTAAATCTCTTCACAACTTTATCCAGATTAAAACAAACAACAAAGACAACAGCAACAAACACAAAACTCCCAACCAAATAAAAAAACACAGTGGAACAAAGCTCTTTCTGCCTCACTAAAATTTCTTTCGTTCTTGTTATCATCAGTATATTTCCAAGTCTTTCTATTATGGAAGCTTATAAAAAAAATATATGGAAAATTAATTTATTTCGGTCTGTTTTTTCTGTGGAGAGTTTCACTAATTTATTTCTTTTGTCATTTATCTTCAGAGTTCTCTGAAGTGACTGCAGCTCCTATTGAGCTAAATATTTTCTGAGACTCTAATGTGGTTTTGTTTTTAGACTGACCATGGTATGTATAAAGTGTGAGCTGCTCAGCTATTTAACCAACTATCCTCCTTAAATTAGGCTCTTAAAAATGTCTAGGTACAGTCTCAGAAATGGTAATTAACATTTAAAATTCTGCTTCACAGAATCTTACTCCTTGTGGTCATTTTTTGATGTTATTATCAGAGGAAGCTGGAATTGAAATCCAAGCAGTGTTTAGGTTTATTGCAGTATAATTTACCATACTGCACAGATGTCCTCATCCAACTGCCCATCTGCCAAGATTTATGTTTACATAGTCAAAGAGATTTCACTGTGGACTCCTGTCTTACTCTCAGGCAGCCATTCTGTGCTGATGTCCTTTTCTTTTTATTGTTTGGTTAATAATTAGAAATAATTTTTTTAAAATTTCAATCTGAATGATTTTTGAAGATTTTCAGTCCTCTTTTTTCTCTTAGAATTTCTATAGCTTTCTTCTATTTCTCACTTGAAGTCTCAAAACAGCACCTTTTGTCTTTTCACACCATTTCCATAAGAGAACAGACATAACAATAGGAGAGGGAAGTGTTGGTATTGTCCAGAAGAAGGGCAGGTGTCAGTAAATGTTTCAGTCTGTTGCTTTAGTTCTCATGCAATTGAAAGCATCTGCTTCATCGTGCTTGAATTTCATAATCTGATTAGATGCCACCTTCTATTTTTTTTCCCTAACTTCAAAGAAATATTCTACCTGAAAGTTTTCCACAGTTTTCCTTCACAAAATTATTTTGTCACATTCTCTTTACAGCATTAGGACCTCAGTAGTTGCTTTCCATATTGTTAATTCCTGCTTGTCATGACCTGTAAAAAGAAGCTGGTTTGGCCAGCTTTGTTATTACAAAATTATTTCTCCTGACTCTTATTCTGATTATGGTTACAAAATTATTCCTGATAACTCACTCCAACAAGAAAAGGTTTTAGCCATTGATTGTGGTACCCTGAGGCAATGGGGTTTGGGTCAGACAGCCTCCTCCAATACTCAGGATGCTGATCAAAAATGAGGATTTTGCCAGAGGTCAAAATCAAAGGACTGTCAAGCTTATGTTGCTTGTACTGCTGGCACTGAAGAAATGCTTCAGAAAAATATAATTTGACCATGTAAGTCAATGCCGGGATGTCTGCCTGTGCATAGCGTGTCTGCATCAAGATCAAAGGGTTCCGTGGCTGGGGTGACAGCCCTTGGAAAGAAGCTCAGGGCCAGTAAGGGCTGGTGGTACTCAGGGCTCAAACAGAAAACATCTTCTGATGAAGCAGCTTGTTTATTTCATAGATTTATGTATTTAATGGATTTGTATTTAAAAATCTGTCAGAGTCTTAGATTATGGCGCTAATAATGGCTTTAAATTTAAAGAGTAGTTTTAAATTAGATATGAGGAAGACTTGTTTTTTACTGTGAATGTGGTGAGGCACAGGAACATGTTGTCCAGAGAAGTTGTGCATACCCCACCTTCAGAAGTGTTCAGGGTTGAATATGTCAGTGAACAATCTGGTCTGGTGGAGGTGTCCCTGCCCATGGCAGTGAGAGTGGGAAACAGATGGTCTTTAAGGTTCTTTCCAACACAAACAACTCTATGGTTCTATGATTCCATGAATATTATCCATCTGAAGACCCAATCCAAAAGTTATTCAACTTGGCAATGTTGTCTGAGGGGCCAAGGCAGAGGAGGAAGAGGTGGCCAGATGAGGCAGCACTCCAAGAACAAATCAAATAGTAAAGAGATAACCTACCACTCTGCTGGCATTACTGGGAAAGTCTTATGCTGTTACATGTTTTTACTTACCAAACATATTCTTCTTCATATTTTATTGGGACAGTTTTGCTTTAGAAGCCATTCCTACTTTGCATTCCAGCCTTGTTTTATCTCTTCCATCAGACCCCGTCTATAATTAAGTCCAAAGACTTACATTGAAATCCTCGTGGGAATCAAAACATTTCCACTTTATATTCCTGCACTGACTATTATTTGAGGATCACACAGTGTTTCACCACTGATAATTAATCTTTCTGGAAGCTCTTTGACACAGACAAGAGCTATTATTCAGGAACAGTGATTAATGAGAAGAAAGCCATGAAGATGTACAGGACCTGTCAAGATGAAGAAGCTGAGCTGAACCCTGAGCACTGGTGTGCTGACAAACCTCTGGCAGCCTCTCTCTTCCTCAGTTTCTTCACTTGAACAGGGATGCCTTTCTTGCTGTGAAGTGTTCAAGACTTGCCAAGAAAAACTCCTTAATGAACAGTTAGGTGTTAAGCCTTTTAGAAGGGATAATAAACATATGCAGATCAAGAGCAGCTTGAGGCTTACTCGATGGAGCTCAGTAATGCATTTCTGTTTAGGGAAGTCATAGCATGTCATGACTTCTTGTGGGTTTGTGTAGGCTGATCTTATGCTTGGAATGCAAACACAAGGATGATGCACCACCCTGGACGAAAACCAGTGGATACATGTTCACCAAGCATGTGCTTCATGAAGCCTGTACATTACAAGGAAAGTGGCAGATTGCAGAGTTAAAAGCAAAACTCACATGAATAATTGTGTGTTTTCAGTTCAAAGTCATCTATTTCAGTTTATACATTTAAAATATTTCCCAGTTTTCTTTGCTTGCTAGCTTCAAAAGTACAGATGCTAATTACTCTGCTGTGGCATTCAAAGATATTGTGTTCAACTAACAGAGAACAGGAAGAAATTGTTTTTCCCTTTTCAGCTTTTTTCATTTACAGAGGAAAATAAGTTAGATAAACACATCTTAATATATTTTACTTATGGCCCATGTTACAGTGATAATTTAAAAAAAATTTGATTTGTGTTGCAACTGATCACAATGCAGGGTTTACAGTAAAGCTGCTTGCTAAGCTGAGACAGGAAAATAATAATGAAGATATTAAAAATATTAATATATATCTTATATATTAATGAAGATATATAATATATATTTATATATTATATGTATATTATATATACATATAAAAATGCATATATACATACATATATATTATACATTTATATATTATATATGTAATATATATTATATATTATATATTTATATATATAACATATATAAAGTTATATATGTTATATATTAATGAAGATATTAAAAATTCTCACCTAATGATTTTGTATCACAGGTACTATGCTGAATGCTGCTTTCAGCTGTCTCCTGGCAATAGTCCTGTGCCCTCTAGCTGGCGACCTGTGTTCTTCAAAGGGCTGTTTGTACAGCAGCTGAATATGATAATAGGAGAGAGCAGCTTCTCTTTGGCCTACCTGAACAAATAACTTCCTTGGATTAAATGAGCCCATCTCTCACAGTCATTCAGGAATTCAGGTCATTCAGCTGTGTAGGAATGACAGCTAACAACTTGGATGGGTGTTTCTTTTGCCTCTTACTGGTGTTCTGCTTCTGTACTGAGCCCTCAAGTGTGGAGGTGATGGAAACCTGCCTGCTGACTTTGTGTCTTCTGTCACATTCCTTCCAGGTCAAGATGATTTTGATTTAGCTGATGCCCTTGATCACCCTGGTATGTAAATTTTCTATCCTGATTTTACTATGGCATTTACATCTAATAGTAAATCTTACGTCATTTTCCTTGAGGAATGGAATATGAAGTGGCTACTACTTCTGTTAAAGATACACAGAACTGAAGAATGCTAGGTTTCAATGTGTCTATCATGAAATGAAAATCTTATTTAAAACAAACCAACAAAAAACATGTCATTGGCATGTCATTGTGTCCAACAGATGACATCATCACCAGGAAACCCACAGTGATCAGAAGACCGACAAGACCTGTGTACAGTGAGTAATAAATAATGGGTCATAAAACTGATTTTGTACATGTAGGAAACTTTCATGTGAGGCTCTTTATCATATTTGCTGCTGTGCTTTAGCTGAGATAATGTGTGATTAACAGCTGTCTTCTTAAAGTCAAAGAAGTGCTCTTTTTACAATTACCAGTTACATGTCTTTACTGCTTCCAGTGAGACAATCAAGCATCTGAGAGTATTTTATTTCCTAAAGCCCTTCTTCACCCTTTTCTAGATGGTTCTGAATCCCTGGGGAGTATAACAATGGGTAGCTGTTGCTAAAATTGGCTGTTTCTCTACTTTTTTTCCTTATTATCTTTATTTTTTGTATATTTATTCATGATGCTTGATAACAGAATTGGAAAAGAGTCAGAACAAAGACAGGGCTCAACTAGCCACCCCACTCTTTTATAGCACTCTTCTTCTCATTGGTTACAGCTGTGGCCTGTAAAGTCAGGCCTGTTCCTAATCTTTGATAATTGGCCCAGCTGTAACTCCTTAGGGGTAAGATTACTTTCTACACTATCTTTATTTTCTTATAGTCTATCCCCCTACACAGCTGAGGCCAATTACAGCCAGTGTCCTCTGGTATCCCATGCACCTCTGCCTGAGTTAAAGCTCTCCTGTAGGCACCTCCCTAGTGTAGCAAAATTCATCACAACTGTTAGTGGAAGGTAATGCTTATTTACAAAATCTCAATTTGTAAGTTGACATTTACCCACTGACATTGTTCCTGCATTCTGTTTAATTCAGCCATGCCCTCACATCCACCTGCTCATGAGCACCAAGATGTGTGTGCTTAGGTGGCCTGGTGAGCATTGCGGGTAACATGAGACAAAGCTTGCCAGCTACTGAGCTCTTATCCTGTCTCTGTGCTTCTTCTTGATCAGAAATGACAAGCAGAATCCACAGATCTTTTATATCCTTTAGCAGTAATCAGGTATTATAGAGAGGTCCTTTGCCTCATAATATTTCTCACTCCAGTGCCTCTGAACCCTTGGTCAGGTTGCTGCCTGACCAAGTAATGCCCACTATATTTTTTTTCACTTGTTTGGAGTTCACAGGCTGTGTGCACAGACTTATTTTCTGCGTGGATGATCAGAAAAGTAGTGATATGCTGCAATCTTTGGTGTTAGAATGCCTTTCTGCTTTTCCTCTGCTGACAAGTCATCTGTGCTGTCATCAAAGCACAGGCCTGCTGGTTTTGACAGAAACAACAATTCCTCAGTTTTACTGCTAGGAACAGTGAACTTTAGTCTGTTGTTTTAACATTTTGCTGTTATTTTTGGTCCTGACAGACACACACATTTCCATTTTTATTTAATTCATATCAACCTTAGCATTTCTGCAACAAATCTCTTCATTAACCCTTCAGAGCACAACTTGCATTTTACCTGAATTCATGTCAATAATAAATTGAATCCAGTATTCAATTTATTGCTTCTTACAAATTTAACATTTGACAGGTAATGGTATTTTTGAAATGCAACTCTCTGCCGAGCAGACACAGGGAGGACCTACACCTAACAAGTACAAAACAAGTCATGTATTATGAATTTATTTATTTTCCTGCCAGATTTCCTGGTGACATCAAAGCATTTCTGAGTTGTTACTCAAATGAGACTAGATACTGTGCAAAAGCAGCTTTCCAGTCCTCCTAGGTATAAAGAACAGAAGAAAACAGATTTCTGCATGGTGATTTTCCTGTATTTCAGGAATTCTGACACATCTATAATTTAAAAAAAAATGTTTAATTGAGAGTCTATCTAATTGTCTGTGGCAACAAACACTGTTACAAAAATTTTGATAGGTTTTGCTATCCCCTTTGTTCTGACTCATTGTACCACTCCACGCGTATAAGCATCAAGAAAGGGATTCTTGGAGTTAAAACATCCATCTAATGTATTTCTTTCAGAGCTCACCATCATTCCATACACACCTTAAAATACCACCCACTCACTCATATCCACACCTGCATGTTAGAAACAGAGTTCCTCTTTATGCATCTACAGCTCATGGACACATTGTTTATTGCACGGGAAGATTCCATCCCAGGTACAGCGAGACATGTGTATGGTGCTGGGCAATGGTCACAGCCTGGTGATTTACTGGGAAACTTTTGCATACAGACATTTAATTCTATCTAAAAACCTTAATGGCTCAGGCAAATAAAAACAGACTGTCTCTCAACCTCAGACAGATGCATATGATTGCCTGAAGCAAGGGGTCATCATGACCCTTACATGGATATTTGATTCAATATCTCCCCAAGTAGGTTTATTGCTCCCCAGTATTTGCTCTCAAAATGGATATTCAGTTTTCCTAGTTCAATAAATTACATTTAAGCCAAACATACGTATACAAAAATTAACCGCAGACATAAATGTTAATAATTAAGTATATTTTAAAAATTAGTGCAGTTACATATTATAACATAGCTAATTTTATTTTTGTATTTGCAGGTATATTAAAGAGGTATTGATCTTGATTCAACTGTAAGATTTATTTTGACATCATTTAAAACTGGAAAAATAACTTTGTATTTTGAGTAGAAAATACTGTGCTATTTGTCAATTAGTGTGTGGGAAAATGTTACTATAAGAGTTTTCAAGAAAAGTGTGATAAGTTATTTGAATTTGTGGCACTGACTTGAAAAAGTTCTTGTAAGCATGTAGTTGTACACATTTTAATGAAAATAATATTACATTTCCCTCAAGAATTGTGTGTAACTCACTTTTCTACATCTTCCTCCTATTCATTTTTAGACAACGATCTGCATTTAGGAGATGCTCTTGGTGGGGGTGAGTACTCCCTTGTTTCCTTGAATACAAGGGGATTTTTTTCTTCCATAGTCTTTTCCTGAACTCTGCCTAATTTGTAAAAAGATATTTCAGTACTGCAGGAGGTGCAATGGTCATGAGAGTTATTACAGCTCATGTACATGCAGCCCTTCTGCCTGAGGCTGTCACACAGAGTGGGGACAGCACCTGGTCACCAGCAACCTTTGAGAGCCTCCAGATGCCCTGCCTTGCATGAACTGAAGTTAGCTGGGGCTTGCTGTACCATGGCAGAGCACCCCAGGCATTGCTGGGGAGAGCAAACATCACCCATTCAGCTGGGATGGCTCAGGGTGGAGTCCTCTGACTCAAGCTTGAAGAAGGTGATGGCTGTAGTTTCTTCAGTGACCAAAAATGAGCCTATTTCAGAGATGAGCACTGATGAATACAGCTTAAGCTTGAAGCAGTCAAGCTGTTGTAACATGCTGTTGACTTCCAGATATTCCCATAACACCCAGACCTGACCTCAGAAGTATTCTGAGTACAGTACTGTACTGAGCTGTGCAGACATATGAAATCCTTGAGGCTTGGAATTTGTACACCAAATTTCATTTAGTGTGTTTAGAGATATACCAACGATGGGAAGTACTCTAGAAAGGTTCTTGAATACTGCAGTTACTCAAAATGCAATTAGTATTCAATCAAAGCCTAAAATTCCACTTTAATCACAGCCACACAAAAGAAAAATTGCACAGAACCTCTGAATCAGATGCAGTGGTTTGCTCACGTTTCAGTCTTAGAAACTTTGACAGTCTTTGATGTTGTTTATGTTTTTTTCCATTTCTAATTTCCCCTGTGGCACTTCATGCCTTTTTATGAATGATATATTAGTCCAGATTTAACAAAACCGGATCTAATTTTGTTAATAATTCCCATATTTATATTTTCATTTATTTTTCCCTGTAATAATTCTTCCATTCCTGCAAGCTTTTATTGAGTACTGTTATGAGAAGATAGGTTAAATGTGTTGGCTAAAGTATTAATTAATAGCTTAAGTATCTTAACTAAATCAAATCTTTTCATTCCAAGGACGGAAAATTGTATTTCTATTGGTTTTATTTCTTTGTTCCATTTTCAGTTCAGGTTCTTAATTGATCTTCATACATGGTATAATAAGGTTTAAGTTATGTATCTCATTATCAGTATTTCTGAAGACATTATGTTTTCACCAGCTGTGCTACACAGTATGTCTTCTATGCTTAGAGAAGACTAAGTGCAGCATCATGATAGAAATTAAATGTGGAATTGGTGGTTTTCTGCTTTTGTGCCACAGTGAGTCTTAGTTCATTACACAGAGCCAGAACAGAGCAAGTCCTTCCTCTGCTGAATATAATTTATTGGGAAAAGTCAGATTCAGCAAAGCTTTATGACTCTACGTAAAATCTGTAGGCTGTTAAACTCACTTGAGATTAAGCATATACCTAAATAACTTTCTGGATCAGAACCTAAATGGTGTTCAGAAACAGAAGAATTGTATTTAGCAGCTAGGCAAGAAGAAAACATAAAAAAGGGCATCTGGCATGGTTGGAAGGTGAAAGATTTAAAGAGGGGGAGGGAAATTGCTATTTATTTCTGTGACCTAATTTTGATTTATGCCGAGAAAAATGCACTGTCTGGCATTTTTAAGAATAGTTGAATACCTGGTTGAATTGGTTGAGTAAAGGGTGGCAAGAGAAAACCGGCTCTATACACACAGAGCAGCAAGCCTAGATGTTAAATTTGGCAGGCTTTGACCTGGATGAGCCCTTCAGCATTGTATATGCAGTTTGGAAACTGCTTTTAAGGATCAGATGATCTGCTCTATCCAATGCATCTCTTTCTAATGCTTTGGCAAAAAAAAAATTAAAGTTAAATGTTAGCACAAAGTTCTAAACAACAGCAAAGCTGAAGTCTGAGATCATTTTGCACTGTTCAAGAGCAGAAAATTCATTATACATTAGATAAATTCAGCATCTGCTAGATGAAACTAATCTGCAGGCCTTATTAAAACCTGTTGATGGCAATGAGATAACCTGCTGCTTCCTGCCCAGCCTAGAACACAGCTTCTCTGTTGGCTCTGAATAACTGCACCACTGACACCCAGAGTGACTGACACATTGTGCCCCCCAGCTGTCAGCTTTAATCAATACTAGTACTTGCCAGATATATGTAAAATATTTTCCCTCAATGTTTTTTTTGAATTCTTCTCTTCTTTCGAAAATATTCCCTATTCACTTCCAAATCAATTTTTATAGCTAGCTATTTGTTGATATAGTGCTTAAATCTTCTTAACTACTGAAAAAGCCCTTTTATTAATTCATGGGATGGCAAATTAGAAATAGGTATAAAATGCTTTTATTTAAAGTTCCCAGTTTTGCCTGTTCAATCATCTAACAATATTAATTATCAATAGGTGACATCTCAAGAAAACCTTTATACCCACCTCTTCCACCACGCCCAGGAAGCTATGGCAATTCTGGTAAGGCTACTTGCTCACAAGAAATGTAGTGCTATCAGCTGTTCAGAGTTGACATTTTGAATACTTTATTCTCTTATTTCTCTAGTAATAGCATTTATCATCCTTTTCCCACGTCTTCCTTTTGTAGTCACTGTTTCTGACCCAGGGGTGAGAAAGCTTCTTTCTGAATGTTAGTGTTGATACTATAAAGTTTTTCTGTTTGTTCAAAATGTGGACACTGCGTATTAAGTGGCACGAGACTAACATTTAATCTAGTTCATGTTTTCATTTTGGGTGTGTATACACTGAACTATGCAAAGGCTCAAATTTGACATCTAGCCACAGGGCAGGGATAAACCTGTGCTCAAATCAATTTGAGATGTGCATCTGAGATGGCCCTGGGGCATACACCAGATAGGGCTGGGCAGCCTGTATTGCTTTTGAGTTTGGTTCCAGACACTTCCTTAAATAAAGTAAATGTGGTATATCTGTTCTGGCTTTCACCCTGTACCTGTACTTACTTTGGGTATGGCTGTAGTGGTGAGCTGTGGACAGGTCCTTCTGGAGTCCTTCCTGGAAAGGATTCACTGATTCTCTGCTTCAGGGGTCGCTGGCACTCAAGATGCCCATATTGTACAAGGATTTGTGTTACTGGGAGCCCAAGCCCACATATCCCACAAGTGCCCAAAACAGACACAGAATACATGGACACCAATGTGTCTATGTATTGTGTGTCAGTACTTCAGCTTTCAGGTGAATTTTGGTAGGTGACTGTTCAGTGTAAGACATATTACCCATCCACCATGTCCAGGCTGGGATTTCAAAGGTCCCTCACCTCTCCCTAGAACACTACAAAAGGAGTGGACAAGTGAAGGGGTTACCATTATATATAATTTTGAAACTGGAATCTTTATCTTGCAGGAGGTTTTGATGACTCAGATCTGATTGGCGGAAAGCCTTTACCACCAGGTAACATTTGCCTATTTCCTTTCCAACATGTTCCTAACACCTGTAAATTGGAGCTGGTTGGTTTTGTTTTTGTGGTAATCTGTCTCTGGAGGTATAGGGCCACACTGGCCTGTTTTTATTTAGGTTAGTTATCCTTCATGAAAAAACATGGGTTTAAGCCTGAAGCTAGAACTTGAAACATATTCCAAAACATTTTTTAGATGTCAGAAGCCCGCAGGTTTTATCCCTTTGAATTTAGCAAGAAAAGTCCAAAAACAAGAGGTATGCTGAAATATATGGACCAAGACTAAGATCTTGATGTAAACTACTAATAAATGAGCTGATTGTCTGGGAGTAGAGAAGAGATAGAGTATTCTGTCCTCCCTGTGAAATCAGCTTGATGTAGCCTGTTACAGGTGGTCCTTCTATTCCATTATAACATTCTTCCCCAAAAAGGAAGTTTCAAGAGGATGAGCAGTTATTCCTCTGGCCAGCACAGCCATCAGTGGGGAGTGGAAAGGGAGTTCCTCTATTGTAGTGTTGTTGGGCCACTCCTTTTGCACTTTGTACATCATGCTTTGCTGAGTAAAGACTTAGTTCTCAAAACAGGATGACAAACATTTCTTTGATGAAGCTTCACCCTCTATTCCAGGAGATCAGGAGCATCATTTCAATCATGGAGCGAACACAGGTATAGTAAATAATTTATATTATTCTGGAATTGATTTCTGATCATTATGAAATACTGAAACAATTATAGCCTTACAAAGTAGCAGATATAATAAATTAGGCTTTAAGACATAATTTTCACATCAGCTGCAATATAACACAATTTTTTATTCATCTGCCTAATTCTATAGTTTCACCAAACTATTTTCATAATTTGGTAAAGGCACACTTTAATAGACAATACACTTAAACCATTTAAATGTCTCTGAAAAACCCCCTTCTCTTTCTTTTTCCACAGATTCAGGTTTAATTGCTGGAGTTACATCTCCTGTAATTTCTGCTTTTGTGATACTGATTGTTGGATCCATAGCAGCCTACACTGCTTACAAGAATAAGAAACTCTGTTTCAAACCACGCGGTAAGGCCCAATGATTTTTCCACTAATTTAGTGGTGAAGTTGATGGGAACTTGACAAACAATTGTCTCTGCCAGCACAGAGGTGCCTGGCAATTGTGGCTCAGTGTGTAGAAACCAGCCAGGGTGGCCTAGATCAGCCTCAGAAAAGCTGGCAAACACCCACAGTGGAAATACTCAATGTTCAATTTTCATTTTTCAGGTGGGGCTGCAGTGTAAAGCACTGCAAGAAGAGTTGCTGTCTGATCACAGGCTCCTTTGGTTGGTGACATTCTACACTGCCATTCTGACAGAAGAAAATCTTCCCCTAACGAATGTTTTCTTGAGACATTGCAGTCCTGCTCTCTGTAACCTGATGTCACTTTTGCACCTCAAGCTTTATGTCATCAAAAATATGCTTAAGACATCCAGGGATTGTATTGCACTCTCTGACCTGCATTCATAAAGGCTGGATACAGATTTTGACTCAGAAGTTATCATAAACAACAAAGAAATCAAGTTTGATATAAGCTAAAAATCAAAGGATTCAGGTTTGTGAGGATTTGAGTCACCGAATATTTTTTTTTTCTGTTTTCAAAATTAGCCAAAAAAACCCTCAGTCCTTCTGATAGAATAGGAATAAGGAGTTTGCCATTTCCTTTCACACCTGTTGGGTTTCTCCAGTATATTTCTGTAATGTTTACTATGTTTAAAGAAAATTTGTAGTTGTCTAAAGGATTAAAAATTTGAATGCCTTTACTTTGTGTTTATGTGTGAATTTTAGCAAAGTGAAAGGAACTATAGCTAGAAAATGCATTCTTAATTTTACAATATACTGAAAAGATTATGTATATTGATAAACCACTGTTTAAAATAAAACAGAGAGGAATACATGCTAATTTTATTTATTTATTTATTTTATTGATTAAATACTGATCTGGTGTTTAGCTCTTCTCAGGAACTAGAATTTTACATGAGTTTCTTTTCTGTTCTTGAAAACTTAGGCCTGACTCTAGGAACCTTTGAAGGTACTAATCTAGAAAGATTTTTTTTTAAAATATTATTTATAACTTCTGAAAATGGAAAATGGGTACAAAGATTTTTCTGATTCATTTAGAATGAGTTTGGGATGCTTCAATCTCTAAAATCTAAGTCACAATGACTTCTGAGCTTCATATTATGTGGAGGTGTGGTTGGCATAGTTTTTCTACTTAGACAGTTTCACTTTTTTCCCTTCATTCCTGAACAACGTTGCTGTGCTGACAATATCCTCATGTAGACAAACCTATAATGAAAATTGACACCTTTCCTGTCTCTCTGCCTTCATTTAGCTAACTGGATCAAAAAAAAAAAAAACAAAATAGCAAGTGAAGGAAATACAGATGAAAATTGGCAAAACTAGCAGTTTACTGACATAATTCTGCAATAGAGACATTTTAATTGACATTTAAAGCATAAGGAAATTGGTGTGGTTTTATCTTCATTTTATATCCAAAGCATGGTTTTTGTTACTGCAATTCCACATATATGGAGGTGAATATGATTTTGTGCTTATTACATTATTGAGAGGAAGACATATACTAAAAAAGTAATTTTTCATATAATAAAATGCTATTTATCTGAATTATATTTTCAATTGATATATATCAGTTGCTTGCTTAGACTTCCACTTTTTTTTTGATCCTGAAAAAAATTATAATGTACATCAGTTTAAACACAGAAACATCTCAACAACATACAAACAAATGAACACCTTTGTGGCTATCACTTTCAACTTATAAATGAGAAAATATTTTTAATATGGCTTTCAAGGACATTTAATATTTCTTTTTAAATATTAATTTTCCATGTTAACAGTTAAAACAGATTGTTGTATATTTTGTCAGACAGACATAAAGATTTGATTAATGAAATTACATGTGTTTTGGTGTTACAGCTTCAGTTGTTTGTCCCACCATGAAAATATATATTTCACTTCTTTCTCTTCAAAATTTTCAATAAATAAAACTGTGTTTTATCTAAGATGACCCAGGTTTTGTTTGTTTTGTTTGCTACTTTCTGGGACATATGAGGATTGATACATTCTGTATACAAGTTCAAATATGTCCCACTAGAGAAAAGGAAATGCAACAACTTAACTATCTATTATTTTTCTCTCTCTCCCTTTTTTTTTTATTTTACTAAGTGTCGAGAGAAGTATCTATGTGCAACATTTTTAGTTTAGCTATACTATGACAATTTATTTTAAATTGTTCATAAAATTTTCAAAATAATTTGTTACTTGTGTTGATATTAATAGCCCAAAATCAGATTTATTATGGAGAATTTGAGTAACATCCATGAATCTGAATGGATAAACCCTGACTACCCAAGTGTTTGACCCTCTGAAGCTCTTTGGTGTAATTTGTCAATATATACCAATATGTCAATATACCAGTGTGCAGATGCACTTTTAGGTGTCAATTTCCCTTTTAATGAGAATGATGATGATGGTAAAAAAAATATATAATTTTTGCATTAACTATTTCTAGTATTATTGTTTCCAGTAATTGAGGGGTTATGTAGGGAAGCGAAGGAAGGAAGGAAGGAAGTGGCGGAAGGAAGGAAGGAAGTGGCGGAAGGAAGTGGCGGAAGGAAGTGGCGGAAGGAAGGAAGTGGCGGAAGGAAGCAAGGAAGGAAGGAAGGAAGGAAGGTTGGTTAACTGACTGTTAGAACATTGAACTCTAGCTTGTGATACTGACTCTGATACTTAAAATTTATTCCATACTGTAAAAAGAAATTGCTGGCACACAAGTAAAACAGATTATCATCTAAATATAGACATCACTTTTATTACCAAGGAGAAACTTTTCTTAGTCTTCAAATCCCCCAACTGAAATAGATCTGCCAGTAAAATTATCTTAAAGAGTAATCAGAGTGATTACTGATAACTATGTTATCTAGTTGATTTGTCTACATAAGTCAATGGTGAATACAGATCCCTGAGATTTTGTTTCTGTGGGATAAATAAAACTCAATTTCCCGAGTGTTTATGTCCATCCTTCCTTCCTTCAAGCACTTCACCATTACTACAGAGCAATGACACCCTCTTTTCTGGTGGACCTTTAGGATTCTTCCAGGGTGTAAGAGAACAAATGCTGCCGCTTGGAGTGGCAACAGAGATCTCTTGCAAATTGTTGGAAACAAAGTTTATATAGCTGAGTGGCACCAGTAGGCAGTTTTTTCAGTGGCACATTACCTGGAACTTGTTTACCTCTGCTACATAGATATTGATGTTCACAGCAGATTTTGAAACAAAAATGCCTTGGCTAAACGACATCAGCCTAAAATTACTTTGCAGAGACATTGTATGGCTGAATTACATCACAATTACATGACATCTAAGCTAGTGGCAAAAGCATGCTGTGCAAGTAAATATGCATTTATTTATGCACTTGTGAAAATATTTGCAGCCCTCTTAATAGCATGAGCTTCCGGACACTGAAAACTCCTCCTTGCTTATCTGGGTGACAAGTGATCAGACTGTATCTGTAGGGAATACGATGGCCCCAGGGAGTTAGGGGCAGACCCCCTTCATTCGCGGTGAATCCCGAGTATCTGTGTGACCACATGCCGCGCTGGAATCCCCCTACTCATGCTCTGACACCCTTTTCCACGCTCCTTCATAGAGGTTGGTGTTTCCCTCTGGGCGCTGCGCGGCGGAGTCTCCCCAGCCTATGTCCCTTCCTCTCGGGAAGCGTGTGCGTGACGGGGAGGCTTTGTCGCAGCGCCTGAGTCCCGGGGGACACCCGGGGCATCGGGGCAGGGACGGGAGGGAACAGGAGGAAGGGGAGCGAGGGTCTCTCCCATCCCGGGGAGCGGGAGCGCCGCGCCCGGAGCGGGGCCCGTGCCGGGCTGCAGTGCGGGGCCGAGCTCCGGCTGTGCCCATGTCGGGCTGCGCAGCCGGGCCGAGCTCCGGGCCGTGCCCGTGCCCGTGTCAGGCTGACCTCTGGGCAGTGCCTGTCCAGGGAGAGGTGCCGGACCGAGCTCTGGGCCGTGCCCTCCCGAGAGCGGAGCGCTGAGGGGAAGGAGCGGGCCCCCCTCACAGCAAAGCCGGCGCCCGGGGCGCAGCGGGGGCGGAGTGGGCCGTGCCAACTCCCCCACCATGCTCTCCGCCGCTAATGCCTTTTCTCTGCCGCTGCGCAGGAGTCCCTGCGAATGTAGTTCACCTGCCGGTGCCTCCAGCAGAAGGAGGCTAATCCCATTGTGCGGTTTAGCGGCCCCCCCGCCCGCAGGTGAGGCGGCAGGAGAGGTGGGCGCCGCGGACCGAGCCCTGCCCTGCCCAGCCCGGCCGGCCCCCGCCTGCCCAGCATGTCCGGTGAGTACCCCCGGCCCGCAGAGCCCCGCCCGGCTCGCCCTGAGCAGCGATCGGCGGCGCAGCCTGGAGCCCCCCGGGGGTTTGCCCTTCTCACATCCCGGTGCGGGAGAGGGTCCCTGCTGCTTTCTCATCAGCAGAGTGCTGTGCTGTAATGAGCAGCTCCAGAGGAGGGTTTTAACTGTCTGGGTGATGGGGTGAAATAGGTGAACTCATTTATGTATTCTGCTTGTATGTACAGCTTGGCCTGCTTAGGTCTGTGTGTGCTTTCCTGGTGGATCCCCAGGGTGACAGGCTGGGGCTGGCTGTCTCAGTCCAAACCTTTCTCATGTCCCTTCTACACAGCAGCGGTATTGGTCTGAGTCAGTTATCCTTAAAGCCATGAGATGCTGCTTTTAGGGTAATCACAGGGGTTAAGTGCAGGTGCTGCTCTGGTTCCTGAACGTAATCAACTTTTTTCCTTTTTTCTCAGTTTTGAGAGCAGTAGCTCTCACAAATCTTGGTTTCTTGAGCCATTTGAAGGGTGTCAGTCATGTGGACTGAATGATGCCAATTTTGAATTCATTCAAAGTACGTAGCACTTCAACACTGGGAAAATGCAGAAATCTGCAAATTAAAGGATTAGAGCACTGTGATTTTGTTTGGTTGAGGTTTTTTGTTGTTGTTGTTGGTTTCAGTTTTTTTGGTGGTTTTTTTTTGGTTGGTTTCTTTTTTTTTTTGTCTTTCTTTCTTTCTTTTGGCTGACAGGAAGGTGTGGGAAGACTGGAAACATCTAGCTTGATATGTACCATAAAGTTCCCTGTGCTGCCTCTGGATTGCTTAAGCAATTATTTCTAATAATTATTACCAATTATTACTAATTTTCAAACTCATGTATTACTGTTTTGAGACTAGTTTTGGGTGTTATGTTTGTTTGTACTTACGATATTGTTGCATTTGAGTTTTCATGAGGATCATTTACCATCTGTTGAATAACATTATTGCAGAGTCTTGAAGCAGAATGTATCATTTTATAACTGAAAGACGTGTAATAAAAGCTACAAAGAACTGGAATCAAGTGCTCTTCCAACACAAGAGCAGTAATCCTGCCTACTAAAATTCAGCACTGTTTTAATAAAAGATAAGAGAGAATCTGTTTTTGGACGAGGCAGAACTTCATTAGGCCAAGAGAAATATTGTATACCACTGAATGTCAATTTAAATTTTGTTATAAAAAGATTTTTGTAAAGTGTTTGTTGTTTGTATTCATTAGTAACATCAATGTTTCAACTATTAGATCTAAGAAAGCATGGAAATTAAAACTGCCAGCTGTCATTTGTGTACTAGGGCAAGAATTGCCTCTCTGCTGGAAACTTGCAAATAATTTTTGATAGGGCTCTGACTCAGGTTATTGTCTGACACTATTGTTCATGTTTTCTACTTCTAACAAAATACTTCTTGATTGCTTATAAGATTGTGGGTGTCACGAGGGGCAGAGATTTCTGTTCCAGGATATGGCTGTGCCAGGCCAGAGGAGTGAGAGGCCTACAGCTTGTGTTCTCTTTTTTGGCAGTCAAACACACCTTCATGGGTGCTTCTGGGGGAAGATCCAAAGAGTCCTTGTGCAGGAGAGGGAGTACCAGAATTGTGTCAGGAAATGTGCTGTGATTTGGAGCTGTGTCACTGTCACCTGGGATCTCAGAGAGGTGCTGTGGCTCAGTGGGTGCAGGTGGAGGCTGCAGTCCTGCAGATTGTCTCTGGAGTAGGAGGGG